CGCCACACCGGGAGAATTTCTCCTGACGTTCTCACTTGCTGGAACTGTGTCTCTTTTCTAAAAGATGTATTTTGGGTTGTTTGGGGTGTTATTTTTGGCGAGAGTCACTGTCACATTTGTTGTAGAAATTTAAGTCATTTCAGGTAGTTCAGAAAGTTAAATCTGGCAGCAGACGTGACGTGCGCTTATTATTAGCAATACTACTACTCCGGTGACAGCTGGCGCTGGGTTTTGTTGCTGATTATAAGGAAAATGTGATCTTGACTCTTTTTCTGTTTTAGTTCTACTTAAGTCAAATGAGTTGTTCCAATGATCAAATGAAAGAATTATGGAAGTCCTGTAAAGCCTCTTTTCGTGAGGTCACTTTGCAAAGTGCTATTGAGGGTATTTATTTACTAGTGTACTGTCGATTCTAAATTCGCTCATATATTCACTCGCCCCCCCCCCAACCAAATGGCCTTAAGCCATCGCTAACTGCCCAGAGTTCAGCTTGACATAAATTGAGCCAACAGCTGAATCGTGTACATCAGCACCCCAGATCACAGAGCGCGCCGATGAGGGCCCTGGGGGTCATTTTGCCAGCGTCCTCTGAACACGCATGCTGGGCCGTCACCAGCTGGCAACCTCCGCGGCACCTGGCCCACCACCAAGAACGTGGCTGGCCGGTGAGGGTCCACACAGCCGGCCCAGACCTGCCTGCAGCTAATCCCTCAGGCCCAAGGCCCGATTCCCATTCGGCCCCACCGCCGTCTGGCACAGGCCACAGGCCGGTCGCGGAGGCGTCTGAGAGCCTGGGCGTCGCTCCGCGCTGCAGGGCGCTGCCCGCCGGGACTCGGGAGGGCCGTCGGCCCGCCTGCGCGCAGTGCCCGGTCGGCTGCTTGTGACACCGCATTTGTCCCTGAGAAGCGGGAGTTGGGGTACAGCGGAGTCGGGAATCCCACTGCCCGCAAGCAGCCTGCATTCTCCCCCGGACGGAGACCGGCAGTGTGAAGGCTCACCCTCCCCGGGGCGGCGCCCACATCCCCGTCTCCGGCCTCTCGGCTTGTGCACAGACCCCGCCTTAGTCTTCAAGGGGGAACCTCAGGGACGTGCCCGCACCCCAGCCTGGGCCTCGGCGCTTCCTCCAAGCTGGCATTAGACATTCGCCTTCTTTCCAGTGCCCGGGCCCCGCAGAGTGCCCGGCGGGGCCGGCGCGGCCCTGAGCCTGCCGGTCACGCGACAGGAGGGACGAGGACGCCTGCCGAGCGGGCGCCAGCAAATGGGCACTGGAACAGGGGCGCTTCCGAGCGGCGCGTGGGGTCGGGAGACATCTCCCACCCAGGGCCGTCGCCACGAGCCCGCAGGTGCCCTCGCGCATCCGTCCTCGTGGCCCTGCCCGGCCAGCCTGGGGCCAGCGTGCTGCAGCGCCCGGGCTCGCGGGCTCCTCACCTGAGCAGGCGAGGCGGGAGGCAGGAGACGCCTCGGGGACGCACGGCCCGGGCGGCTCCCGAGCACCTGACGGGGCTGGGGGAGACGTTCAGGACGCCCGTCTTCAGGGCCCACCGGGTTAGGAGGGACCCACAACCGCACGCGCCAGAGGGGAGACCTGCTCGGGGATGGGCAGAGATGCTACTGGCTGAGCGCTAACTGGGGGGCACGGCCCAGTCGCCCCCGTGTAACCTCCGTGTGTTAACGGAAGGCTCACCGCAGGGCCGGCGAGGCGTCCGCGCTTCCCGGAAGGTGCAGTTCTGGGGCCGCCACATGGGCGAGGACCGAGAAGAGAAACACTGAGGTGGGGAGCACCTGAGGTGTGGGGGCACTTGGGGGGGGACTGTCCCCACGTCTCGGAGAAATCCGCACATAAAATTAGATACCTGCCCTGCCTTTTTCCCAGAACATGTCACTGAACACGTAGCCACATGGGCTTCCCTCAAAAAAGCAAAGAACCTAAAACAGCATTTTGTGGTCACTCTTGCTTTTTGTCCATCTTGAGGTTTCTCTACCGTTTTTTAAACCTGGCTACAAAACGACCCATCAGGTTTGTTTACTTGTGTTGCCTATTTGGTGCAAGACCCTGGAGGAAAAACAGCAGCCAGGCTTCCCCCTCCCCAGCCCCATAGAAAAGCGCCTCACGGCGAGGCGCAGGGCCCCGAAGCCAGGCCTCCCGCCTCGGGACCGCCGCAGGCCAGGCCGAGCAGGCCCGGCATTCCGCAGGCCTGAAGCCGGGTCCTGGGCTACGTCACACACTCGGTATCCACCCGCAAGTCCTTCGTCTCGGGCCGGACTTCACACGACCGGGAGACTGCTGAGGGCTGAGGACTGAGCAGTCAGGGCGCCGATACTCCTCCCCGGCCGCCGTGGAACATGCAGCCGTGGGGTAGGTTAGGAGCGCGCTCAAAGCCTCAGAGTGACTGCGCACGAGTGAGTTTCATGCTGACAGTTCTTAAAAATCCCTGCAGAAGGGTTTAAACAGTAAAAAGAACCTACCACTGAGATGAGGAGAATTCCCGAGTACTGCCGGGGCCACCAGGCCCAGGGACCGCTGGTCCTGAGCGCAGAGCGGGGAGAGCGGGGAGGGCGGGGAGGGTTCATGCCTGGATCTTGGGGAGTCCAGCTGAGAGAGACCCCGTCTGCCCTTCACCCTCTCGACTTGGCTACCACTGGCTTCCTAGCCGCCTTGCAATCTCCCTGTGAGCCACCGCTGAGTTAAAGAGAACTTCCTGGCCACTGGCATGTGGGTGTGGGGGTCTCGGGAAGCTCAGGGCCTCAGCGGGGGGAGCTGGCTGGCGGCGGAGAGGCGACCCATTACTTCAGAGGGGCCTGCCCGGGGGGCAGCAGCATCTTCTGGAGTCTTTCTCCAGGCCTCGGCCTTCTTTTCTATATAAACTCCCACGTGGAAAGGAAGACGTCAGCTTGAAACCCTAAATATACACCAGGCTCCCCCACCTGCAAGATGGGATCTCTTGGAATAGAAAATGAGGGCTAAGGCTGCTCTCATTAGCAGGAGGCTTGGCTCCCCCAGAGCCTGAGAGGACACCCCTGTCCTGAAAACCCGAGAAATGGCTGCAGGAAGACAGAGGACGGGGCCCGGGAAACCAGGCCTCATTGTGCTGTCAGCCTTCCGGAACACTCTGACGAGCCCACGGCCAGTGTTGAGCCAGTCCCCTCTGACAACCTACAGACTCCCGCGATCGGGGAGACTCCTGGCGCCCTGTGCTCGCCGAGGGGACACAGGCCGCGTTGGGAGAATTCCCAACCTAGCAGAAGCATGTCAACCCGCCCAGACCAAGCTAGACACACCCGCTGCAGAGGCTCAAAGCCGAGGGAGCAGCACTGTCTGCGTTGCGGATTCCCAACTGCCGGGCGCCCTGGGGCTGCAGGAGCCAGCCCAGACCCGGAGGGGAGCACTGGGGCTCACGGCCCGATGCTGGGCGGGAGCAACATGCTTTTAAGAAACAAAATGGCAGAGGACGGCAACCAGTGCGGCTGGGGTGAGAGCTGGCAGCTGCCGCACACAGGCCGGGGGTTGGGGGGGCGGGGGGGCCCCCAGACTGCAGCCTGCCTGGGGTTCTGCCCCAGGTGGTCTTGTCCAGGCCCAGCGGAGAGGAAATCACTGCATCCTGTCGGGCCAGAAGTCCCAGAGCCTGTTCACCCGCAAACGCTAAGGAGCCCGTCTACCATTCTGTGGTACAATTTCCACGAAAACACCTCCACAGCCTGTGGGCACGCCCAGGGTCTGCCTCACCCACGCGCCCGGTGAACAAGGCCCATGCTCTCAGGACCTCTCTGCAACTGCTGCCTGCGAGCGAGGCCGGAAACCCGGCTTAAGACTCACACTCTTGGATGCTGCATGTGATGTTTCCACCCACAACTCGCATCCAAACGACACGCACTTACAGCGATGGTTTAAATTAAATGCTAACAGAAATCATTTTTACATTTGCTATTTCCTTAATTTTATACCTTGAAAATCCTGTACCCTACAAGCATTCAATGCCACTTGTCTTTGCCACTAGAATACTCTGAAAGCTTAGAAGACGTGACAACAGTTGTGAGCAGAAATAAACACAGCCTGATGGCGTGAGTGCTAACGACTCACACAAGCTTCAGATTGCGTCTAGGCTGTGAGCGCCGCCCAGTCGCTGCTCTGGGCTGGCGCCGTGAAGGGACCTGTTTCCTCACTGTGAGTCGGGCTCTAACAGTGGCAAGCAAGCAGGCGCCGTTTTAAGCAAGGACTCAGATCTCGCCCGGGAACACGCCTGCCAAGGGGTACCTACCAACAGCTGTCCGGCAAAGCACACGAAGAGGATGAAGGCCAGCGAGAGGAAGGCGGCTCCGAAGGAGATCCCCAGGACGGACGTCCTGCCGGAGAGAGGGGCCTGTTACCGAGGGCTCGCGGCCCCACAGTGGTCTAGAAGGCTGCCACAGCACCCCGCCGAGCCGGGCCCTCGCTGAACGAGAACGAACTCCTAAGTTTTGCTACGTTTTGTTTGGTGACCATATACTAAGCTTTGGGGAAACGAGAGGGGCACACTGCCCAAGCACGCGGCCATGAAAGGGTCTGCGGCTTCGTCGGACGGATCCGTCAGGGCCCCACGGGCCTCAGTTCTTCCTAGAGGATCTTTCCAGGATGCACCTGACGGTGCTACCTCCACACTCTCCTGCCTGCAAGACACGCCTGTGTGACCTCCAGTCCCCCTAACTCCTGTCCTGCAGGAAACAATGACCCTCGTGCTTCCCCATGAGAGGCGTCGGGCATCAGGGCAGCTAAATGCTCGTGAGGCCGCCCCGGTTACAGGCAGCAGGCTCACTGAGAGGGAGCAGGAAGCTTCTGCGGTCACTCAGGGCAAGCCTGCCCCTGGCGGACCACAGGCGGGTAACGGCATAAGCATCGAATTCGTTTCTGAGAGGTCCTTGAGATCATTCAATACTTGTTAAGTCCAAGGACAGAGATGTCAGGGGAATCCACATGGAAAACCAAAGGCAAAGGTTGAGCAAGACCTCTGGGGAGAGCCCATCTGGCCCCAAGACCTCTGTGGAAACGCTGCCCATGTGGCTCATGGTGATGCCCAGGAGACAGGCCAAGTGGCGCCGAGGTGAGGGCCAAGGACCCCCGATGGTGCACGAGGACGGGAAGACCCGGCGCAGACCGGCACCGAGCAGGACACGCCAAGGGCACAGGTGGGCCCGCGGGGCGGCAGTGACGGCAGTGGCTGAACCCCTCACGCGCCTGTGGCGGAAGGCTCGCTCCCGCCCCCAGACGCCCTTTGTGAGAGGTGACTGGGCATCCAGCAGGAGCTGGTGCAACTGGAGTCCACACCACCACGTGAGCTTGGCCCGGTGACGCAGGCGGCACTGAACAATTGCCCGGATGACTCGGCGCTGCCAGACACCTGGCCTGACTGGGCGACCACTGCCCGTGGGTGACGGTAGGTGTCTGCTGGAGGTGGGCTTCCACACTTCCGGGACCAAAGGGGTTCTCGGTGCTTCCTGCCGAGCTGGCCGCCCTCTGTCTCGTCTGTCTCTGTAAGAGAGCCCTGAGGGTGTTCTTTGCTCTCCTGCTTCTTTCTGGTGTCAGAGTAGTGTCAGCCCCAATGGGCTGAGTTCAGCAACACTACATCTGCTTTGTAGGTCTCAAATGGTTGAAATAATAAACCTCTCCTGGAAGGTGTGGCAGGTCTCAATTATAATACCATCTAATGCAGACGATGTTGATGGTAGTGATGTGGTGACGGTGGTGGTGGCGATGTGATGTGATGGTGACGTGATAGTGGTGGTGATGATGATACAGATAACACCTATGAAGTATCTATTCTCTGCCAAGGACTCTCCTTACAAGAGCCTCAGCCCTCACAATAACCCTGGATAATGGATAATTGTTACCTCGTTTTACCAAAGAGAAACTGAAGTCCAGAGGAGTTGAAAATCATGCCTAAAGTTCTAGTTCTATTGAGTCGTGGGGACTTATGTCTACACGATTATATCCTGCTCCTTTTAAGGAATCCATAAGGAAAAGACATGCCATGTACATGCCGAGTTTATTGGCTTTATTTCTTGAGTGAATTTAATAGTTTTCTTAGAAAATGATCCATTTCATTTAGAATGTTGAATGTAAATGACTCCACATAATTTCAAAACTTGAAGACTCCATATTTGCACTAATTTCTTCTTGTACTGAATGTTATTTCTCTTTTTATCACCAGATCAGACTTTTGAAGCTTTGCACGTTTGGGGACTTAAAACATGCGCTTGGGGTTTACTGATAAGGTCTATAGTTCATGATAATTCTCTATGTGATTAGTTCTGGTTTAACTTTTTCAAATTTTGTTCTTTTTCCTGGTTGTCATTGATTGTGAGTCTTTTGAATGTTCTAGCACAAACTTTCAAGGACATCAAGTACCCCTAGAATTACTGCTTAGTAATCAAAATCTTCTGATTAATACTTATTGTCATTCTCCTCTAAAAACCCTGCCATCTCAATTTCTATTTCCTCTTAACACAAGAGTAATTTGGAAGTCTGATTAGTTTCCAAGGACTTGTCCTTGTTATTTATAATTTTATTTGATGTGATCAGAGGTTGTACCGCTATTATTTCTATTGGGACAGTTTATTTTTCTCCTTGGGAGAGAGAAACACACTGCTATGTCTTACGGATTCTGAAGATGTCCCGTATCTGCTTTATGCCGGAGGACAGTATGTTCTCAAACACAGCTACTGACAGGGCCTGGTGATTAGTAAACCCCCAGGGGCTGACTTATTGCCGCGTGTGGTGTCCCAGGTTCAGACTGCATCAGCATTTCCAGCTGGGAGAGGCGAGCGTGATGCCCTCTGCAACGGGAAGAGCGTGGGTCAGACGGACGGTCAGCGAGACGCCCACCGCGGCTCTGTCCTTCCATGGACAAGGACGTTGCTTATGAGACTCAGCCTGGCCACTTCGCTCTTTCCGGGGAGTTTACGGGGCGACATCTCTTAGGCTTGGCATCGGCAACGTGGCAACTCGGGTGGAAGATCAGCTTCCTTTTTAAAGCTTCCTGGAGACCCCAGTGGGGAGGGCGCTGGAGGGGAGGTCACGGCCTCTGGCGGCGGCGTGAGGTCATGTGAGACGGAGGCCGGAGGCTTGCTCCTGGCACGAAGCGCTGTCGACCCGTGTTAGCCCAGCAAACAGTAAGGTCTGATGCCGCGAGATAAAACCCCGCAGCACAGCCCGCTCGGCTCATGCGCGCCCTCCCTCCAGCGACCCTGGCTGAGGCCCCGGAGCCGCCCAGCACTTACTTGGGCAGCACGAGAATCTGCACGAGGAAGATGCAGACGAGGATGAGGCAGGCGCAGGTCACGTAGTACTTGAAGGCCGGCAGCGAGGTGGCCCGGTACTGGGGGGAGAGGAGACGTGAGAGCCGCGCTGCGGCAGCCTGCCGTCGCCAGCCGCGTCCACGCGTGGGGCGGACCGTCCCCAGTGACGGCCCCCGGGTGCGCTGCGCAATTTCTATGAGTCCAACCGTTCAGAACAGTTAAGGGTGAGTGAATCCCTGCGGCGAGGAGCGCAGCACCCGAACAGAGGAGAGGGGGTGAATGAGGCCACTCTTACCTCGGGCCTTCCACCCCCCAGCGTGACGGGCAAAGCCTAGAGCACTCCCCAATCCAGCACTGACCCCCGCAGGTCAGCAGGCTACCGCAGGTTTGGTTACCCTAACACCCAGAGGCCTCGGTCTCTCCCCAGTCAGATGAGGGCAGCGGGTGCGTCCCAGGGCACACTCATCCCGAAGCTTGCCCGTGCTCCCTCCCCTGGCCCAGCACAATGGTGGGCGTCTCCAGGGCTCTCCCTGATCAGGCGAGCCACCACTCGGGGCTCCCAACGCCATCGGGGCTCTGTCCCCACGGGAGCCACCCGCAAGCTTCCTCAGAGCCAACTCCTTTCACCCTACAAGACCCAGGGCAGGAGCTATGAGCCCCCACGGGGGGGGGGGGGGAAGGAGCCACCGCTCATCATTCTCAGCAGACACAGCCTGGCAAAGCCAGGACCCGCACCCCAAAGTCTTGGTTTTCTACCACCAGGCGCTACCACCTCCCCAAAGGGAGTTTCATAATAAAGTTAAAGGAAAAGGGCTTTGGGGTGACGCTGCCGAGACCTCCTGACGGGGCGGCCATCACTGCGTTTTCCTTCCCCAGTGATGGGGCGCACAGTGTGTGCTGCTGCCTCCACAGGCACGGGCCTGGCTGTGCCGTCTCCGCAGGGCCCCCAGCCCCCACCAACACCCCCCACCCCCCACGTTCTCTCCCTCTGAGCCTGCCCCTTTTACCCCTCCTGCTGGCCAAGCCTCAGCTAGGGCAGGGGAACAGCGCTGAACGAGGCCTCAGAGATGGTCTTGGAAAATACAGACACACAGGTGATGTCCGCAAAAGCATCACTGTTAAATGATGATTCCTTCTGTTCACTGGCATTTTTTATAATGAAGTTTGTGATTTAGGAGCCAGGATCATTTACATGCTGATGAAGAAGCCACATTAGCATAACTGCAAAGTGGGATATTTGGGCATTCAATGCCCCACCTTAAACCTCCCTCTGGGCTTTGTGCAGAGACCTGATGGAATCCCTTCAGCATCAGAGCAGGGAGGGAGTAACGGGATATTTCAGCCATCAGTAACCACTGGTAGCTCTAAGTTATTCAAGGATAACTCGTCAACCGCCCCCCCCCCCTGCAGATCACGGCGGGAGGCCGTGCGGCAGCCCCGGAGGTATTGACACCTGGGCTCCGTGTGAGGTGACTCTGACCCAGCAGGTCTGGATGCTTAATACCGGTGAGGCGACTGCGCGGTCTCGCAGAATTTTAATACCAGGGTGATGGCAGGGGGACGGGTCAGCCTGAGACTAGTTCCAGGTGGGATGATGAAAACGATCCCTTACTTACTCCTCTTCTAGACCAGCAGGAGGTGAATGGCAAAACGCTGACCCAACCCGACAGGAGGGCGGGTCTGGGCCTCTGCTCACTCTGTCCCAGCAGACCACGTTACCTCGCTGTGAAACGCAAATGTCCTCACACGTGTTCGTGTCTGACTGGAGGGCAGGTGTGAATTAGGAGCCATAGTTTGGGGTTGGAGCCAAGTGTAAGACTCGTATTTTTTATCAAGAAGTTAAAAGTGTGTAAAAACACTGCAAACTCATCAGGGAGGATTCTGTGTGCTCTCAGATAACATGAACTCAGATTGGCTCTCCAGCCCCAAGCTCCAGACATGGAGACGTCACCCCCCGGGGGCGTGGAGCGGGTGGCCAAAAGCTGAACTGTGGGGCCCAGAAGCCAGCCAGGGCCATATCCGCGGGGAAGAGTCAGGGGCGTCTCGAGTCTGCCACGCTAGGGAGCGCTGAAAGCCGGTAACGAGTTCATCAAGGAGCTGAGCACCAACACTTCAGAAAAAAGGGTTTTGAAGAAGAATAACTTACTTCTTTTTCTAGTATTTTATTGTAGAAAAACAAGGAGATTCTCTGGATGTCTTCGGATTTGAGCCACTGCCTGGAAATAAAAAGCAGAGACGCATCAAGCCAGCCCACGCGCACGCCGGGCTCCCGTCTGTGCCACGCGCAGAAGGCGCTCCGCGAGACGCCACGGGGCCACAGGCACGGCCGCCGCTTCACACGGCCCTGCTCGGGAAGCTCAGCCCCGCGATCGGCTGTCACGCGCTGAAACTCGGTCATCTCCGAGAAACCCCAGGGAGCCCAGGCACCGGGCAGGATTCGGCTACGCCAGTAGCGTGTTCCCCGACGCCTAGCTGAAATCACGTGGCGCCTCTCAGCTCCGGGCAGATCTGACTGGAGAGGAACAGCCTTCTCCTTTCTCTGCCCACCGCCACCCCTGATATTCCCTCACCCGCACTCCCGCTCCACCCCAGCGCCCTCCGTGTTTATGAACCCTGCTGGGTTGCAGGCTTTTACTTCAGCAAACTGCCCACTATGTAAATGGGCGGTGTTTGTCTTTGTCACGCCGCCTTGCTCGATTTCCCATGACCCCTCCAACGCTGCATTCTGCGGAAAATGCCTGGAATTCATCTTCCCGTTGGTGGACATTCCAGCGTGCCCCCCGCACCCCCGCCCCCACCCGCGCCCCCGGCGCAGGTGTCCGTGGCACTGAGTGGCTTCCGTGTCCCAGTGCAGATGCTGCTGCAGTGGACACTGTGGGGCTGTATTTCCGGGTGGACGCCCAAGGGGACAGCCTGGCCATACGGTATTTCAGCAGAGTCCAGTCGGCTTTCCGCAGTGGCCGCCCAGCTCAGGCTCCCACCAGCGGGACGACAGCTCGTTTGCTAGCTCGGCTCCACACACACGGCCTCCCTGAGCCCTCGGGCTGCCGCCCCCGCCCCTCTGGGGTGAGTCCGTGTTGCTGTGGGAGCCACCCGGGCTGCGGCCTCGGTGGGCGGCCGTGTCTGACCGGCTCCACACGGAAGGACGGGCCTCGGCCTGCTGCCGTGCTCCCGGGCAGGAGCCTCAGCTCTCCCCGGGGTTCCTCCACCCGTTAGCTGGGGCCTGCCCGGTGACCCAGCCTGTCCCTCCCCTGGCCCTGTGCTGTCTGTCTTTGCCTGTGGCCACGGGGCCCCGGGAGGCCGTTCCTTCCCGTCACATCGACCCTCTGAGGGGACACTGGTGTGTGGCCCTGAGTCTGAACTGAGGGAAGGGCTGGTTATCCGACCCCGTCAACACTCACGGACAGCAAAGGCATGGAGACAGAATCGCACCCAGTCGCTGCCTCTGTGAGGAGTGGACGGCCAGCCCGAGGCCATCGTGGGGGTCGAGGGGAAGGCCCCGCTGACTGGGGCTGAGACCGATTCAAGTGCATGCAGACAGCGTCCACCTTTACAAGTTCCCCTGACTTTCGAGCAAATTACCACACAAGCAGTCACAGCAACGTCAAACACCACTTTAGAATAAGCCCCATTTCGTGTCTGTGCTGAGTGACTTGTATCAACACAACCCCTCAAAAGCAGCCTCACGTTCTAGACTCCTTACGGGGAGTCTAACTGCGGACACAAACATGTGGGACACAGAAGAACGAAGCAAAGAACAGAGGAAGCAAACCCTAGGAATCTGAGCAGAACCCAGGCGCCCGGGCGGGGGGTCGCGAGCCAAGGGGGCGGCCCCGGGGGCGCCAGGCGCACAGCTGGAGGAGGCTGCCCCCGAAGTCACGCACAGTGGCACGCATCAGTGTCATCCTAACGGGACAGCTGCGACGGGACAGCCGCCGAGGCCGGCGGGCCCACAGCTTCACCACTGCGAGTC